TCCTCCCCCCCCCTTTTTTTTCTTTTTCCTTTTTCTTTTTTCCCCTTTTTGCGACAATCGAATTCACTCGAAAAGCAAAGTAGCCGTCTGTTCTTTCGGAAAATCCACGATGATACGACGTTGCCTTTCGTCGCGAGACATATCGTCTCGCGTTTACTCTCCTCTTACGTGTTGCGTCAGCGTTACGTTGGCGCCGCATTCGTCTATCCAGACTTTAAGCCGTGTTTACAATTCCAACTCCGATGGTCCGCGATTACCTTCGTTCCGGATCCACGACCCTCTTATCCGATTTATCCATTCGAGAGTAAAAAAATACAGGACTCTTAAAATGCCGTCAGTTCGAACTTTTTTATTCTCCAATTTGTTATCTTCCTCCTCTCTTTCTTCTTTCCCTCTAATTATTCTTATTTACCAGATATTTCATATTGCGTTCTCTCTTTCCTCGCTTCGTTCTTCTTCGAGGACACCCTTTTTTCTTCTTCTTCCTCTTCGCGCGATTCCTAAGTCAAAAAATGTTGTAAATGCAAATAGCCAAATCACCGTTCCTAATTTTAGATTCGCGATGAAACGAACGATTCTGTTGGTTGTAATCGATGTACGTATTACATAGAGAGCGAGATACGAGGAATTTTAACAATTTATTCTATTCTGCTGCACAAATTGCGGACAGAATTTATTTTTTCCCAATTATTTATTTATCCAAGTATTTATTTATCCACGTTGTCGGGGACGAATGTTTCCTCTCGATCTTACCTTGACTTTCCCCGTCCAAGTATACACGTATTACTTGGATAGAATGGACACGTGAGATCAAAGTCCGGAGGCTGAATGGAAGATCGGCGGATAGAGTCGTTAAACGTCATCTCGCGTACTTTATTTATATACGCGGCTCGAACAATGAGACGATAATTAAAGCGGTGTGTAATTAGCGATTAGCGTACGTCGTTAACACTGCAAACAGGCAGCTGTTGGCAAAGTACCGTGGCTCTCCGTCACGTGGACCTCTAGCTCGCGGTGATGCACACGTGGCTTCGAGCTGCCATCGTTGAATAATTCAGCGACGAAAGTAGCCGCGATATTCTCCGCTTCTCTCGCCAAAAAAATTGATACGCTCTCGTTTCGTTATCCCCTCCTCCCAATTCTGATAAAATTTAAGATTAACACACGACTTTTTCTCTCATCCAAGATTGCGTTTCCAAGAAAATGCAGATCAGCAGCACGTTTTTTTCTTTTCTTTTTCTTTTTTTTTTTTTAGGAAACGTACGAGGCGAAGCCAGCCGTTAAACGAATTAAACTTCGAGACGAGCAAATTGGGTAATATTTTATTTTATTTCGGCGCAATTGGAACCGAAGAAATTGAGAGCGGAGACCGTTCTTCTCTTCCCTGCCTCCTACGACATCGTTGAATCTTCTTATTATCTCCGACTTCTTTTTGATCGATACGAATTGATATCGATAACGGGAAGATCTTATCCTACGGGTAAGTTCGGATAAATGCAGATGGTGTTGCATTACACCGAGTCGTGATGCATAGTCGGCGATGCTATCGACGGACGCAAAATGGAACTTGCAACGAGAGGAAGGGAGTGGAATGTTTATTGTATATTCGATCGTGGTACTCCTCTCGACGAATAATACGAATCTACAGACTCTTAATAAAATTCTTGACAATCGCAATTATGTTCGTCGTTGTGATTCGACGATAAATAGATACAGATTTTTTTTTACAAATATTATATATAAATTTCATTATCAAAATAAGCATATCGAACGGATAGATAGATATTAAACTTGAAACGAGATATTTGACGTTCGAATTTTATAACGTTTCCAATAATAATTGAATTATGTGCGTCATCTTAAAATATCGCTTAGAATGAAACTGTAAATAATTTATCGCTTTCTTTAACGGTGTTTACGAATGATCATTCAAAAGTCTCATCTTTTAATAAATTTAACTATTTTTGTCGAGTAAACGCAGTTTACTTAGTAGTATAACGTGTAACTATCGTCAATTCGTACGAAAGACGCCTGGTGGCTATGTGACAGACTCGTGCTACTGATGGATTCAAACTGTAGCTTTAGATACATATATTAAAAAATTGAAATTCCATTATTTTTAATATATGCAATATACGTACATGGTTTATAATAAATTGGTTATAACGTGAATATCATGCGTGTTGTGAAAAATTTTTGTTTTTGGAAATATCAGAGAAATTTTGCGTACTACTTCTTTTTCAATTATATTTTCCTATATATTCTATTTCCTTCCGTATTACATTTTCTCGATAAAAAATCGTAAAATTGATCAAAAATGTTAGCTGAGTATTGGAAAAATTCAAATCTTGAAAATCCCAAAAGAACTTTCATATGCCACTTTTTCTCGGATTATATATTCTACTAATTGTAAGATCGAAATTTTTAACAGTAAACATTTTTGTCCGAATTTATAATTTTGTAACAGAGAATGGAGGAAAATAACGTGCGAAATTCTTCAAATTCTCGAGAATCATAATACGGGCGAATAATTTTTAACCGATTTTTATATACGTATAAAACAATAAGAATGTATTCGATTTATGTATAACATAAATACATAATAGAATACAGAAATATATAACGTACGAAATAAGGAAAATTTATTTTAAATGTATATACGATATGTAGAAATATAAAGTAGTCCGTTTTATCTATTATCAGTTAAACGAAGAAAATAAATTCTCAGAACACTCGAGATCAGTGCCATCTCGCGTTTGGATACTGGAAATTCCGACTTGTTACTAGCAATGCAGAATATGCAAGGAGGTATTCGTGACGTCACAGATAAAAAGAGAGCAACGTTGCGCGAGAAGGATAGAGAAAACGCGCCACTAACTTTGGTTATGCGGCTCCTAATCTCTCCCACCCCTTCGATCACGTGACACAGAAAATTCATTAATTATTAATTTTTTACCGATAATTTTTATATTTTTAAGTTCGCGTCTTAAAGTTAACGTTTCAAACAACTTTCTCGCGTAAATTTTAACGCGAAATTCTTTTTTATTAATTATTCGTCAATGATTAATACGCCACATGGGGTAGACGCCATCGATACGCGATACCTTTTTACATTAATTTCTCATTACTGTAAGATTCTTTTTTAATCGTTAATGCACGCGTTTCAAACGTTGTTTCCTTCTCTAATTTCACGTATAATTTTTATTCGTAATTTGTGTGTCGTTTAAACGTATAAATCGATCGTTCGATTACTCGATTACGAAGCAAGGATTCTCGATTCGGACGATCTTTACGATAATAATTTACAAACAATAAGAAGAATTTTGCGTTAAAATTTGTTGGAGAAAGTTATCGGAAATGTCAGCTTCGGGATGCGATCTTAAATATACGGGAATTGTTAGTAAAAAATTAATAATCGATTAATTTCGCGATCGATGTATATTATTTCGTACATGGTATCCTCCCCCTGTTTGTGACGTCACGAATACCTCCTCGCATATCATGTATCGCTAGTAACGAGTCGAAGTTTCCAGCGTCCAAACGCGAGATGGTGTTGATTGGAAATTTTTTGTCGAACGAGTTTATAGAACGAAAGGACGAAAAATTTATTCGGAAAATATTGTTGGTAAATTAAAAAAAGTGTAAGAGTGTAAAAGTAAATAAATGGAGAAAATTAAGAGAAGAGAATTTTTTAAGGGAAAAGATTTTTTTTAACGAAAATTCATTTTCGCTCGTCAAGATATAGGAAAAAAACGTATATTATCCAGCGAGCAACAGCTTCTTCTTTGTTTGTTCGTACAATTATTTGACATCGTTGAGATGGATATTTGAAAAATATCCATTCGCAATCCGTTCCGAAGATTCGAAAATTGATGTAACGTGAAAAATGATGATTCTCAAGAAGAAACGCGATAGATCGTAATTGTTGTAATTCATTTCTCGGCAGCAAGAGTAACGACGAAGTATACGGAGATAATCGAAGCAAAAGTGCAAAGCTACGCGTAAAGCTAAAAAATATATCGATCGTAATATGAAATCCTATCGATGCCCGCGTTAGGCAGCTTGGTTGGCGAAAGCAACCGCTTCGTTCCCTCTTTCCATCCAATTTGGGGAGAAGGAATGTCGCGTCCATTTCCGAATTTAATACTCGGAATAAAGCTCGTCGCGTCAACGCGTTGATTCGATAATCGATAATGTTTCGTCTGCTCAGGATATTCGGCCGATTCCAACAAAAAATACGGGATGAAAATGTTCAAATTGGCCGAGTGATTCCGTATTATAACTTTATACTTTTTCATCGAAAAACGAAAAGAAGAAGAAGAAGAAGAAGAAGAAAGGAAAAAAGAAACGAAAAAACGAAAAGTTAGGAGAATTCGTTCGGTTATGTTTTTGAAACGGGTGTTGTCGTGGGGGAGGGGGGGGGGGGATAAAAATCGCGAGGATGATTTTCGAGGAGAAAAATGAAGTGGCAGATGGAAAGAGGATAATAATATAGGTAGCCTGCGGCTGCGGCGATGATTAATAAATCAGGGACGGCGTTGAGAGAACAGTTTAACCTGTAACCTTCGAACGATGTATCGTGCTCCTTCTTCCTTTTACCTTTCTGCCTATCGTTCCATTCCTTTCTCCGCAGAGTACGAGCGCAGACTCGCGCGCATTGCACGCATCTTTTTCACCGAGCTACACTCCGGCTTTGTACCGCGATACAGATACAGCGTTGTGCGCCGGCCTGTGGGAACCCACCGACTCTGAATGTTAATTGTTGCTTAAATTTATGACAGTCCGCCTCACCGCGCCTTTCCACGCGCACCGCCTCGTCCCAACGCCATCGGCCCCATTCCACCCCCTCCACCCAAATAACCCTGCCTATTCATTCCGCCAACGATCCCTCGAAACGAGCTCCGCGATTAACCACGTTTCGCCGCGACCACCTCGAATTAGCCCGCCCTCTTTCTCTCCGAATCCCAAATTCCTTCGTTTCCAGCATAATTTAATCTAACCTTGCCGTGTATTAATCCTTTGCGCTCTCGATTCGATAACTCGAATCGATAAGGAGTCACTTGGATCGATGCGACAATTCCAACAATATTAATATATGACGTATCATCGAATGGTTACATCCGAAATTAGACCGCGATCGAACTACATTTTTGAGCTTTGTAGAAGCAACGAAATTATTTCTATTCGTTGAGAAATACGGACGATAGAGAGTAAGAATAAGAGACGGTGCATTATTGAAATATCGCACGAATTTTCTTTCTTTACGCGTAAAGAAACGTGGAAAAGAATTTTAGGAAAGAAATTGAGCGAACGTGAGGGTTAATCGCGATTCCTCGGCGAAGGAACGAGAGTGGCGCCGTGTTTTTTCGATCCGAGTGTGGACGGTGTGGGAACTAGGCCGAAAAAAAGGTAGGGGTTTAGAGTTATTAGTGGGTTGGTGCGACGGATGACTCAGAAATTCCTGGAGCCGGGCTGACAGGCGAAATGGGTCAGACGCGGTGCACTTAATAAAGGCAGAATAACGCGGCGCGATTACCATATGAATTGGTGAGCACCGTGAAAAGGAGGCATCGTTTTCCGCGCGGCACGTGTGCGATCCCGCCTGTCATCGATTGTCATCCGAGCCATCCCTCACTTTTCCCTCCTCCTCCTCCTCTTCCTTCTTTCCTTTCCTTTATCTTTATCCCTGTATATTCCAATCGTTTTCCATTACTTTTATCCCGCATTTCGATACATATCCGCATCTTGGTGCGTCACAGTAGAGATATTTTTTTTATTAACGCGTGCCGTTAAGGATTTTTCCTCTGTTTGTCGTCTCGCGTCGTGTCGTGTAGTTGGCGGCCGATAATTGATGTTTGCACACCGTTAGGAGGTATGAATTATCGGGTCTCGATATCTCACGATTCGTCACCGACTTACGTAATCACGTATTTTCTATGACGAGAAAACTCTTCGTTAAACGGATGGATCTGAATAGATGATTCGAATATCCTCGCATCGACTTCAACTTTACGTATTTTCGAAGAACGATCGCGTAAGTTGGGAGGAGAGGGGGGATTTGACTTTGCGAGCACGGAAAACCCCCAAAAAAGGACGAAAGGATTTCGAATCGAGAGAGAAGAAGGAAGCGGCGAGGCGAGCGAGATCGTAATTCGATACGAATCCTTACCATTCGGAAAAAATCACGATGCAAACGTCAGTTTCTTTCGATATCCCGCAGTCGGTCCGGCCTCGAATCGAGAAAAAAGCCCCCAAAAAAGAACGGTGGTTATTAACGTCGAGAATTTTTACGGCCCGTTTAATTTCCGCCACGTTTTTCTCCCGGGCAGATAAGTTCGTTTAATTGAGGAAGAGATCGCGCCGTAAACAAAGAGCGACTCTTACATGGTAAATCCGGAGGAAACCGGTCTTTAAAGTTTCTAAAATTACGTTACGGGAGCCTCGATCGATTTTAAATCCGATCTCTTTAATCCAATAGCTCGAGACTCGGTCGTTGTTCGCTTTCGATTCGATGTCGCGCGAAAGAAAGAAGGAAAAGAAAACGCGGAAAAAAACGCGTGGGAGATGTCAAACGCGAGTTCGATCGCGCGTGAAAAAAAAAAAAAAAAAAAAGAAAAGCGCGTGGTGGACGGCGGCTTTCGCCGAAAATAACGTTCATTGATTTCGCGTTCTGAATGAACGAACGGTTGAACGGAGGAGAACGAGGCAGCATAGTATACAGCGGCGAGAAAGGGGGTGTTACGTATAACTATCGAAGAGAATGGCACGATATCTAGAAAACGTGGAAGTTTGCCTGTTCCGATTATATATTCGATTCGATATGTTATACGGCACTGGAACGAGTCGTACCGCCTACGTTTTCTTCGTAACGTCGCCGTTCAATTTTGGAGAAGGTCGGATCGTGCGCGACTTTGGTCCATCGATGATTAAACCGTGGCTACGCGCTGTACGCGAGAGCATCGGTGGACCACGCTTTTCCTATATTTTCCACTTCGTATATCGAGATATACGGCCGAGGTTGGAAAGGTCAAGAGTGGACCGGTCGCAAATTCCTCCATTTATCACGGTGAAAACCTTGAATCTCGAGGATTTTGAAACGCGTTTCACGCACCAAGGCCGTTATTATTCGCAGCTACGAACGACTCGGCGCGTTTGGTCGCCGCGTGAGCCATACGTAGAACCCCATGCGTCTTCCAGTTTATTTTGCGCTTACGCTATGCTCGAGCCTGCCTCAACACCGCCGCCTTTTCTTCTTCTTCTTCTTCTTCTTCTTCTTCTTCTGTTTCTCTTTGCGTCGCGAGCGTAATGAAACGATAATTCCCCGACGCACGTGGCCGATTCGTAGAGAGAACGTTGGCTCTCGGTCAGTGTTTGAGAAAACGTCGTGTTCGGTGAACGACCTCGATTCGACATTTATTCCGATATTCATCACTCGCAAACTTTCTTTCTTCCTTCTCTCTTTGGCAGAATTAAAAAATCGGTGGATAGAAACGATGAATACGGTAGAAACAGAGAAAATAGAGGAACGCTTCGTAACGGTTCCATCGAGTTGGAAACGAATACGAACGAAGAGTGTGCTCGCGTTAGGAACGACGCGTTATTAATTTGCACGAAAGTTTATCAACAGTGTTTACGGACGAGTACCGCGAAATATATATTCCCGTCTTATATATACACATACGTGTGTATATTTTTCGATGCTCGGTCGAAGCTAATGGATATATACTCGAGACACCAGGGACACGGTTGACGTCAGTCGAGTTTACGCTCGCCACCGCGTCGGTATACGTAGAGATTTCGTAGAGATCGGACGATCGACGACGACTTGGCACACGATATATATACGTTCGAATAATTACGCGCCGATTTCCGCTCGAGGAAGGAGTCGGAAGAAGGGGTCGGAACGAGTGGATCGACGGTGATGGACGGAAGAGCAAATGTAATACGCGATACGAAGCGCGGTTTGGCATCCGCGACCACGATACGACTTTGTTTTCCCGGATCGAGGAGCAAACGAATTTTTGCGTGGTCGTACCGTGGCCAGACTTTCGTCTACTACGTGGGTAGATATAGAGTCAGCAACGCCCACGACGTCGCCGCGATGCCTGACCTGGCCAGGGGTGGTTGCGGCGCGAAAATGTCAGACGAGCCGGCTGATACGATACTCCCACGCGTGGAAAAGTAGGGCAAAGTCGATTCATTCATCCACTGATTCATAAGCGTGGGCGTGAGATGAGCGCAAGGAAGGGTGGAAGGAAGAGAGGAGAGAGAGAGGCGGCTGCTCTATCGCAGGCCACGGAAGGAAGGAAACCTGTTCCCCTCCGCCCCTGTTTTCTTCGATCATCGGTTCGAAACGGATCGATGTCGCGTCCCCTCCGTGTTCTTCCATCGCGGAAATCGCGTCGCAAATCATCCGCGGTGCGCGTACACGTCGTCTCGCCACGGTGAAATAACCACGCGCGATCAACCACTTACGTAAGTACGTACGTACGTTAAAAAAAAACGTTATATTTACGACGCGATGAGTCGAGACCTGGCGATAATCGGGGAGGGGAGAAGGATAGGAAAAGCTAAATGTCGAGCTTTTCGGTTGCTCCGTTATTTCCACGATTCTCCTCTCCGTCTCTGTCTGTCTGTCTCTCTCTCTCTCTCTCTCTCTCTCCTCCATCCCTCCGGGGAGACTCGATCGATCTGTTTTTCACGTGACGCAGCTTCCACGTCGCGCGTATCACCGTTATATTTTCGCGAAATTGTGGACTCGTTTCGGAATATATTTACCGAATATTTCTTTTTTCCTTCTTTCTTTCTTTCTTTCTTTCTTTCTTTCTTTTTTTTTCTCGAAACAATCGTCGCTACATCGCCGCGTCTTCGTAAAACTTTGCAAATGGAAATTCGAACGTTCGAATACAGAAATTTCGAAGAGTTACGAATTCATCGTGATTTACTCGTCGGAAATTGATTAACTTTATATCCTATTTTGATCGATCCTCGCGCGCGCGTGAGAGAGAGAGAGAGAGAGAGAGAGAGAACGCTGTTTGAAACGAACGTTTGTTTTCGAGTAGACTATCGTGAAATGCAAAAATTTATGTGTGCCATCCCGTTTAGAAAAGAACGGCTCCTTCACGGAAGAGTAGGAACGGTGCCCTACTTATCCCATGAAAGAGTCCACTGAACCATTAAACGTCAAAAATTTTGCAGTTATTCATAATAGTTTTTCGTACGAATCATCATCTCGTACGATCCTCCTCCTTTGTCTATCCACGTCCACGTGGATTACCTATCTCGATCTTTTTCTTCCTCCCCCTTTTTCTTTTTTTCAACCGCTTTCAATCGTAAAACGAAAAAAAAAGACCGACATCGGGCGAATGGATAAAGAAGGCGTGGAAAATAGGAGCGAGATCGGGTTCGATACGAAAGTTCCCGATCGCAATTAGCGGTTACATAAGCTGAGAAATATTTGGGCTGGAACCCCCGGCGGATGATGCAAGCGAACGTTGTGGAACCGCGAACCTCATCCCTCCCTCTCGAGCGGACGTCCTCTATCCGGATATCCTATACACCGCTAAACACAATGCACCGTCTGCTATTGCTGGCCGCGCGCCATTGTCGATAACCTTTGCATCGTCGACCCGATGATGGGAGTAGCGAGATAGGAACGTCGCTACTCGTCTTCTTCGTTCACGATTCGTGAAATCGGTCGAAGGTCACCAACGAAGGAAAGAAGGGAAATGGCAAATAATAAGGGCGAGGTAAATATCACGCGATTTTTCCCCTTTGCGTTTCACCCACGCGTCGAGAAAGGTTGAGGTAGAGGATGGAGGAGATCGAACCAGTTTTTCCAAATTTTTGCGAGGATCAGAGGAGGAGAAGGAGAGAGGAGAAACGGAAGTGGAATTATGCGGGAAGAAGAAAGAAAAAAAAAGACGCGAGGAATTTCGGTGGATAAATAGAAGGAGGATGGCGCCGTTCGGAATTTGCTCGATGCCCGTCCACGAATTACATAGTATTCGCGATCATCACGCGTCGGTTAATTCGCGAATGGAAGCAAAACGCGAAGGGAAACCAAAGAGAATCCTCTCCCCGTTTTTTTCGAACTGCAGTTTAGACTCGGCTCGGTGGAATCTATCGATCGAAAAGAATTCTTCTTCTTCTTCTTCTTTTCTTCGAAGTCTCGCCGTGACATTTGACCGTTCGAATCTTTACTCTCGATCTCGTAACGAAACAACAACGGAAAGAGACGCTCGTAACACTCGTAAGCCGATTTGTAATAACCAGCCGGCAGTTGTCCTTGTCGGCAGGACAAGTTTTATTCCAGTCGAGTTCCTTTCCGTATCTTGTATTGTACGAGTTCTTCCATATCTAGTTGGATCGTAATTTATCGAACGCTCGATCGAGCGAATTTTTTTATCGCGAGATATCGGGCCGATATACACTACGTATGATATACGTAGATATACGCGGTGGTTGGGTATAAATCATGGGACACGGGCCTGGACGGATTTATCTCGAGGAAAGGTTTAACGCGTCCAACGTGCAATTTGGAGGGAGAAGAGGTGGCGTGGTGGACGCGGTGTGTGGTCCACCGCGATCCAGTTTATCGTCTAAATCACTCGCGGCATCGATTTGCATAACTTATGCGAGCGGAGCGAGCGTTTGTTGTACGTAATCGGAATACATTCGGTCGGGCTGATGACCGGAACGAAAGGTTGTGACGATGCGGTGCGGAGGCGCGATCACCTCCGTTACGCTTCCCTTTTCTCTCTTTCTCCTCCTTTCTTCTCTCCTTTCGCATCGTTTATCGACCGTCGTGATATACATACGCGAAACACGCTTTCATTCTCGCGGCCAACGCTACTCGTATCAAGATTGGATGAAATATCGGTAGGAACGAGCGACAGGAACGATTCGAATAGTTTTGGAGTTTTTTTTCTTTTAGAATCGCGCAGGACAAGTGGTGGAAAGTGGCGACCGGTGAAAAGTGGACCCGGTTTGTCTCGGGGGAAACTCGACTCGGGCCGATTTCCTTCCCTGGAAATATCGAATTCCGCGCAACGCCACGGGTCTCTCGATACCGAGAATCGACTTTGGCCGATACCCAAAACGATCCCCGGACGCACGACTCGTCGAGCCAGTGATCCGGGATGGAAAAGAAGCTGGCCGAGAAACGTCCGATCCCCCCCCCCCCTCCCCCTCCTCCATAGGCCCGAT